AGCTCCCCACATAATTAGAGTTAACTAATGTAAGCTTTCCCCCACCAGTAAATAACCACATTTACAGTTTGCCAGGGTAAACATTTTTTGTTTTAATGCATGACTTGAAATGATTCTTTTACATGTAACTGTTTCATGTACAGTACTGTACTGTAAAATCACACACTTTCATGGGGTCAAATTTTCGGGGTTTGAGGTAAAAATACTGGTTTGTGGGGATTTGAATTCCAGGTTGAAGTAGTGATGAATCGTTTTGCACATGAAATTTTACATTTTGTGGAGGACATGAATTCATGGGTCTCTTCACACATTGAAATTTTTACCCCCATGAAAATTAGTGATTTCACAGTATGTTCTTCATATGAAACTTAATCATGCAGCACCATTTTAAACTTGTAACATTGTTTTTAATGTAATCTAAGCAATATCTGACCAAATTAAGTTATGATTACAAATGGAACATTTCCTAAAAATACCCAAGAAGTAAATTCCCTCTGTCCTTCTACAAATGCTTACTTACATTTACAGTGTGCATGTCATTTGTGTGTGACAGAGTAAAGATACAGAGAAAAATCTTGGTAAAAGAAAAAAAAGTCCCATCAAACACTCAGGTAACATAAATATGACTGACATTTAAAACTACCCTGTATTTCTGAACTGACAAACAAGATTTGCTAGTGACAATCCATAAACTTGTCTTCATTGAATTATGAAATGAATCAACCACTGACAATGAGATGTTTTCTGTCATTAACATCAACAGAATTTGAGAAGCCAAAAAATTAATGTACTGGTGGAAATATGGATCTTCACTGGCCTTTATTTTTCACGCAAAGCCATCAACAGTTTGTGTAACAATGCTCTCCGAAAGGAGAAATGCCAACTTAAACTTAATCTATGAAGTGTACAGAACTAAATACAGCATAACCATAATATATCAATATAGTACATAAAAATATTTATCAGTTCTACATCCACTACTCAGTAACAAAAATATAAAGGACTAGCTACATATACACTATCTGAGCTTGCAACAATGTCAGTCAAATATCTTTATAATTCATAAGGGTTTGATTCTAACACAAATTTAAAAGACTAATATAAAATGAAACATTTACTTTGTTTTTAAATAGGAGTATAGATTTTCTTTCATTCCAAGCATAATAACTGTAGGTAGACTTAAGCTCAACAGTACACCAATTTATAAGGGGACGGTATTAGCCTGTTTTGAAGAATGACAATCAATTTCTCAAAGTAAAGAAGATTGGCTTCATGATCTTTAAAAAAATATGACCAACAGATACATGATAAACTGAGATCATCGTTGTGAGTGTGTGAACTTCCCCAAGTAATATTGTCTAATTGTTTTCTCAGACTAGACTCCTTCATAAATACAGTGTACAATTAAACACCCTTATAATGAATTCAGGTTTACAGTAAAGTGATTTTCCTTCCCCATGCTTTTAAAACATGTTGTAAACTTAACAGATATAATGAATTACACTTAAAGCAAAATTGCTCATCCCTGGCACTTTGCTATAAGCATACGTACATGTATTTTAATTTATCCTGCAACTACCCCTTGTATTGACCTAATAAAGGTAACCTAATAAACCAAAGCTTTATTCGGTCAATGCCCTAATAAAGCCTCGTGCACGTATTCCAACGTTCTAAAAGCATTGTGACGTCATGACTATTAAAATGTTTACGCCATGGCATCTTAGATGTACCTAAATCGGTTGAAAACAGCTCGTTTTGGAGGTCCTGTAAAATTTGTTGCAGGATAAACAAAATACATGGAGACTGTCTTGAAATATAAGCGATATTTGGGCTCGGGTCGAAAACGTGATAGAGGGCTCGGCAAGCCTCGCCCTCTATCACGTTTTCTTACCCTCGCCCAAATATCGCTTATATTTCAAGACAGTAACCATGTATTTTATATGTATCTATTTACGTATGAATATGTTTGGGAAGAAATGGGACACCTCCTTTATCTGACTTATTCTCCATCAAAATAAGCAAGAAAATGAACTTTCCCTTGTTCTTTATCTATCTTACTGTTTTACTGAATAGCCAAATCAGTCAGAGCACAACCTTGTGATCTGTGAGTCATGGGTTTGAATCTTGCAGGAGTTTTTCTCCTGGTTCTTTTTGAAGAACCTAAATTAATATATGTTTTATTTTTTGCCAAATATTGTATACTTTTTAAAACCATTATATATTAAATATGATCTTTTCACCCATATCAATATTTCTTGGTGTCTCATCCCTCTTTATCTGATCTCTTCATACTTAATCAATTCAAATAACATAAAACAAAATCTTTCAAACATTAAGTCTTGGTAAAAATTTTCACATTACAAGTTCTCTCATATACAACAATGACACAATTTTGATAAAGATCAAATCAATTATCCACATCCACATATTTAACTCTTCTTACTTAGAAAGCAAAAACCTCAAGAAACAATGTACATTGCAGTCAAAATTAATCTACAAAAGATTCACATGTAATATTTAACTAATATAGTTGTTATAAAGAATAATTCTGATACCAGAATAAGAACACAAGTACTGTTATAATAAGATAGAAAAAAAAAAGATCAGTGAAATCATTGACCAAGACTGTCAGGGATACACATTAACTTTCAGATCCATTTCCCCTTTGGGCAAGTGAGCTCAAACTTTGACTTGTCTGAATGACTTTGTCCAAAATTTAAAAAGAAAAAAAAAATTACTACAAATGTTAATAAGAAGAAAATACTGTCTATATTAGGTGATTTCAGTTGCTAGTTAAAAATGTTGATGCACCACTTTAGATTTAAATTTTTTGGCACATACTGCCCTAGTCAATAAAACAAGCAAATTCAAATTGCCATGTAATGTAACAATAAAAAACCTGTTTCCTTTAAAAGAATTTTTTCTCTATATATTTGGTATTGTTTTTTCCTTATTTTGATATTTTTCCCCTGAAATACTTGAGCAGAGATGAGTGTGAAGCCATGAGAAATGCAACAATCCCATATCATGATTATTGATCAGGATAAGTCCTACAGCAAGTGGTCTTGTTCATATTTTATGGTGAACAAATAAACTATTTTATAATACATGTATCTAATTTCATAATAGCAATGTAAGAAAGTAGTAACACCAAGAGCATTTTTTTTGTGTTATCATGAAAGAAAAAACTTTAAATCGGAAAACAATTACTGAATTTTAACATTGATATGAAACCATCTATAGATGTACGAACGCTATTGAGGGATTCAGTGCAAAAACAATGTCGCGTTTCAAGGGAGACATTAAGTATTCAATTTATTCTTTCATTTACAAACCAATGTTAGATACAGATAATATCAGAAATATTCACTTGCCCGAATGGACAATTATATTACTAGTTTCACTTGCCCAAACTGAAAATTTATTTGCCCAGGGCAATTGGACAACCATTAATGTTGATCCCTGACTGTTGTTAAACATTTATAATTACATGTATTACATCATTACTATTGCACCAATCAATATTCTGTTTTACTTCACAATATCAAATACCCTGATGTAGATTTTCTCTCAGTTGGTATGATAGTCACTAAATGTTAAGACACAGAGCAAGGTTCAGTTCTATTTATATGTACATTGTAACTATCCCGTTTTCTTGGCCATGGAATATAAATAAACAGCAACAAAGCAAGGGGGAAAGGGGGGGGGGTTAATGTGTCTTTCCCCTTTACATGACACAGTGGAACAGTCACACTTTTAATGCCCTTGAACACTGGTGTTGAGCAAAAAGGATCCCAGACATGCATGTAACAATAAAACATAACAAAAACAGATTAACAGGTCATGTAGCACTTGCACACAAAAAAAACTTTCATTTGGTATTTTTATCAATAAAAGACCTTGGTTCTATCAGGGACATGGCTTGGTATGTTTAATAAGTTAAAACCTTAATGGACATTATTCTATTATTGCTTCAATCAACCAGTCTACTTAGTACATGTATATTAATTTGCTCATACTAAAATATCAAAAATCAACACTAGTTTCCATCACATCATTTTTTTAACAGTTTAAAACAAACTTGATAAATCTTTTAATCTAATTCCTAAGCACTACTTGATATAAAATCTATTACACATCTAATGGTATATGTAATATAAACACAATATAATTATAGGCACTATTTTAAGCATTTATATTTTGCACAGTATACATTCATATTAAAAAATATATGAGTTTATCAGTTTTTAAATTAAGAGGTACAGAACATCACAAAACATAACCAAAAACTTTTGGGATTTTATGCTAATAAGCAAAAATAATAAAATCTGAAGATTTTCTGTAACTGCATGTCTACGTGTGAACTTAATTTCTAGAAATGCCTTTCATCTTTCAGAGCTAGGCCTTTACCTTTCAAACAAAGGAATAAGAGTGGTTAGAGACCAAAATTTATCGATTCACTAATTTAAATGTCTTCACACACCATATCAATGGTAGGTCTAAGAGACAGAATATCCTATATAAATTCTCTAGGTGGATTCTCTAGGCATGAACACTTTGAAAGTAGAGAATATATGCTGTACTTGAAACAACTTTCTCTCACGAACTCAAATGTAGTTTCATAATGGTGGGTACTGTGAAAGTATGTTGCCATGAAGGACTATATTTTTTCTTCAATTATCTTAAAAGCTGCGACAACTTGAAAGAAAATATGAAAGACAATCACTGCACATATACCCCCCCCCCCCTCCAAAAAAATAGTCCTGAAGGAAAGTTGATTTACAGCATAGAACAATTAAGATTGTAATTAATGAATCTGTAATGGATTTCAAATTAATACATATACACTGTATTGACACTGTATTTTACACTGTATTGAAATATTTTTGTTCAAAGGATATACATGAATATATTAAATACATGTCCTCAAAACAAAAAAAATATTTTCAATTCACAAATCTTTACATTATTATTCCAATTCAAAACAATTTTGAGTCTTATACAATTGAAAAAACAACCTATACTTAAGAAAAGCACCTTGACAATGTGGACTGCTCATTAAATTAATAAAATATTGGCAGGTCTAAAAATTCATATCACAAAGCAGATAAGGCCTGATTTCCATACAATGCAAGGTTTTCATAAAATAGTAAAAAAAGAAACTTATCTAATAAATATAAGCGATTAAACATTAATTTGTTTTGCGTAATCTTGCTCTTGGAGTTACGCCGTTTCCATTCATGGATGTCTGTTTGTACTTTCCACTGCCATTTCTAACACCATTTGTTTCTTTCTTGTCTTCTAATAACACATCATTCTTAACATCTCTATAGATGAAGAATTTCCAGAATGTAAAAAATAGAAGTCCTAGGGCACCTGCTATCCAGAACAGGGCAATGTGCTGAGGGAGGGGCTTACTGATGGTTTCCCAGTCAAATTTGACCACAATAAGGAATTCTGTGATGATTATCATGGCAATTAACCAGGACTGACGTCCAAACTTCTTGCAGGACCTAGAGTACATAGTAAATCTCCCAATATATAGACCCAAGACCACTGGTGATAACTCAAAGTAGTTAAAATCACACAGTTATCCTTATGAGACAATAAATTTTAATTTTACAAAATCAAACTTAAAATGAAATTAATTTTACTTGAACACTTAAGTTAAGAAATTGATCTGAAACTCACGGATCATCTAAGTATTGGAATGTCTCTCTCATGGCTGCTGCCCCCATGAAGAGGAAAAATGCCAGGCGAGTCAGATTGAGGTAGTGTTCAGGAGGAAGCCATAAAACAAACTTTAAATAAAACGTGTTCAGCTCTGCGACAAGAAACTGAAACAAAGTAGATAAACTGTAAAGAAAAAGACATGACTCAATTTCCATGTAAATGTTTGATTAGAGAGTGATGTTACACTTTGCCAATTAGACTAATTTCAATCCACTTCATTAACACTAAACAGTCCATTTTTCTTTTAATTCTAATTCTCACCTGCTGCACTGAGTCTGGCTTAATTGCAAGTTTAAGCATCATAATATCATTCAACTAATTGAACTGAACTCTAGAATTTAGTATATATATATATATATATATATATATATATATATATATATATATATATATATATATATATATATATATATATATATATATATATATATATATATATATATATATATATTAGGGATGTCAAAATATTTATTTTCTTTAGTCGAATGTTCAATTGCATTATTCGAACGATAGTCGAATATATTCGAAACTTTTTCGGAAAATCAAATTTTATTTCAAACTTCATTGGTACGTGACGTATTTAACCCCAAAACCCCTTTTCTCAAATTTATTAAAAAGTAACAACAAGTGTTACAGATGTTCACATGTGGATAGCGTGTTTATATTTACTAAAAATAGACCGCTAACTTCTCCAAAATGTATGATTTCCCCGTCAATATTGTCCATAAATCGGTCTGTAAAGACGTTTTTTTTAGTAAACATAAAAAATGACAGTACTACATGTATATTTTTTTAATGCTTATTATAATAATTGGGGGGATGTTTAAAACACATGCTATCCACACGCCAGGTATCTGATATACCGGTAATGTTAAACAGTGGAATATACTTTTTGTCCCGGCTATCAAAATGTCTTAAAATTTGTAAAACATTATTTAATTTTATAATAATTATCGTAGCGTCCAAACATGTCATGGTTATAATGGGTGCATGGTATGAGATCAAGTCCATTTAAAAATATTACAAACAAAGCCCAGTATAGTGAGATAATTTTATTACAAAAACAAAACATTAATTGATGAATAATTCTCACTGAAGTGAAGCATTTCTACTTACTGTACTTTCTACATGTAAAGTCAGTAGATTTTAATGAGGAAAATTATCTTTTCAACTGTGTTTGAGGAAAGACAGTTTCTCAATTTTAAGATGAGAATTCCATCTCTTTATCACTCTTTTATTGAATTTATTTATTTGAATATCGTTTCGTTATTCGATCGTCGGTCCATTCGACTGATAGTCGAATAGTCGACTATTTGTTGACATCCCTAATATATATATATATATATATATATATATATATATATATATATATATATATATATATATATATATATATATATATATATATATATATATATATATTTGAAATTAATGACATTTTTCAAACCAGTGTCCAAATTGTTCATAATCAATTCTGATAACCAGTATTTACTGCAAAGTTCTGCAGCAGAGATGTTTTGCTTATACGTATTTGCATTTCAATGTATTTTTTTCCTGTGTATCATATAGATCATACCTTTCCTTTTCTATATCACACCCTATATCAGCCCTCAACCAGTTTTAGCCTTCAGTATATACACAAACTTGTTCACCCCCCCAAGCAAAATGTGTCTCAGGTGGTTGGGCACCAGGTTATTTCAAACACTGTTCTTGGTCTGACACAGGGTGTGATATGGAAAAGGGCCTGCATTATTCTGTGTATATACACTCCATATAAAGTAGTAATACTTACAATAGCTATAACTCCTAACATGCACAGCCATCGTCTGAGACTAGACAAAGGTCGCCAGTCAAAATCTGTCCAGCTGTAGGGAGTAAACTGCAGGGCTATTCTCTTCATCTTCCCCCTGTAATGCAAGGCATATCCATCAATTTTTATTCATTGCTGCATGAAATGAAACTTTTTTCATCATTTGTACTCAATATCAGCCATTACTAATAAGTTAATATCTTTTTCAGACAGATTACCAAATGTCACTTGTGTTAACCTGTATGAGGGTATGTTCCACATGCCTCTCCAATGATACGGCTTCATTGATAAATAATTCAAGGTTTTCATCCCCAAGTATATTCCTAGTCCATTACACACAATAGCATCCATTATCCACTGAAAATTAATTACAAGATTCGTTAAAGAAAATTACTGCTGCTGTTTGTTACACATACTATGAAACATGTCTATGCTATGAAATCTGATTTACAGATATGAGAATATGTGTTGATGTACCAGTACTGTTACAATGGTGCACAATTAATGGATTTTAGTTACAGTGACATATGGGACAGGACATACATTTAGAAAACTGATACAGTCAGAGAGTCACTGAGGGCCCCGCTACAGATGTTATTGCTCTTAAATGTGCTTCTGTACAAAATTTGAAAAAATGTGTGAAATATCACGTCACAACAAAAGTGTCATGAATATACATTCAAACATATGTACAGACAGACAGACAAAGTGATATGACCCCAACCAATCTCCTATGCAGAGTTGTTGTTTGTTCCTCTCTCAGACACCTCTGCAATGGGCTCGCGTCAAGATTTTTGACATAACGTAAAAAACATAACATTTCAAGAATTATTTCAAATTAAACTAATAGTTTTATAATCTATTTAGTAAATATCTATCTTTAAGGACTATCATTAGCTTAGACATTTAATCAAAATGAATTAAAACAAACGCACTATTTCTCATGCTTACCACTGTGATAATAATAATAATAATAATAATAATAATAATAATAATACTTTATTTATAGAAGGTAACCTGATTAGTGCAAGCACTAGTCTTCCTCAGGGCCTTCTTTATAACACATATACAATGTATATATACAATAAACACAAATCACAATTATGAGATAATAAAATATAAACACTATGTTACAACAGAATAAATAAAATCATCAAAGCTTAGTTCAAAATGTGAAAAGGAGGGGGGGGGGGGGAGGAAATCACATATTTTCACGTAGAACTAGTACGTTTCGTAAGTAAAAAATTTTCAACACTACTTTTAAATATTGCAAGGGATTGGGATTTCCTGATACTTATAGGTAACTCATTCCAGATAATAACCCCTGAATATTGTAAAGAATTTTTAAATAAATTTGTTTTGTATTTTGGTAAACGAAGTTCGGAATTTGTTTCTGAGCGCAACGTATATGATCCAGAACTTTGAAATTCAAAAAAGTTATGCATATAATCGGGAGACATACCATGAAATGTTTTGAACATTAGAATGCTTTTCTGTAAATAAAGAAGTTCATGAACCGTTAACCAGCCTAAAGTGTTAAATAAAGGCATTGAAGGTGCATCATATTTTTCATTTAAGATAATCCTTGCTGCACGTTTTTGAAGTCTGTAGATTCTGTCGATGTGCGTTTGAGGAGAGTTACCCCAAATAGATAAACAATATAAAATTGATGGTAAAATAAAAGCGTTATAAAATAGTTTTCTAGTATGCAGTGGAAGAAACTTTTTAATTTTTCGTAAAGTAAATAATTTATATGTAAGAGTTTTGCAAACTGCATCTACATGACAAGTATATTGAAGAGTATGATCAATGTGAACACCTAATAATTTCTGCATTTCCACATTTTCAAGGGGATGACCGGAAAGTTGTAAATGAAGACTAGTGTTTTCTAATTTTGATTTCTTTTGTTGTGTGCCCCATTAACATACACTTTGTTTTATCGGTATTCAAAAGCATCTGATTTTGTTGACACCAGTTTTGTATTTGATAGAGGTCATGATTAAGAGTTGTTTCAATACGTGAAATATTGTTACCATGAAAATGCATCGAGTGTCATCAGCAAACATATCAATATTACAATGTTCAACAGACAATGGTAAATCATTAATGTACAATAGAAATAATAAAGGGCCTAATATAGAGCCCTGTGGCACACCTGCTGTGACTGGCAGTGATTCAGATGTGTATGCACCTATTTTAACACTTTGAGTTCGATGATATAAATATGATTCAAACCATTTAATTGATATTGGATCAAAGTGATAGCATTTAAGTTTTCTAATTAGTATATCATGATTAACAAGATCGAATGCTTTGCTAAAATCCAAGTAAGTAATGCCAATGAAATTTCCTTGATCTATTGCATGCAGCCAATTATCAGTTAGTTTTGTGAGAGCTGTCTGGCATGAGTGAAATTCTCTAAATCCTGACTGTGCTTTCATTAATAAATCGAAGTGAGAAGTAAAGATGCGTATATTTTCTGCTACATGCTTTTCTAAAACTTTCGATATAGTTGGTAAAATTGAAATTGGGCGATAGTTTCCTGGGTCTGATTTATCACCCTTTTTAAATAGAGGAGTTACTTTTGCGACTTTTAGCTGTGAAGGAAAAGACCCCTTGATTATGCTAGAATTTATTAGATGTGTTAGAGGTTTTGATATTATACTAGCTGAAAGTTTAAGCAATCTAGGTCCAAGAAAGTCTATGCCAGCAGATTTGTTTACATCTAGACTCTTTAACATATTAAATACTTTTTCTTCATTAATCAAAGGAATTTCAAAAAAGTCTTGATCTCCAAGTTTTGCCTCAGTGTATCTTTTCAATTTTTCTGAATCAAAAGTAGTAAATGAAAGATTGTTTAATAATTTTCTTGGAATTTGTGCAAAATGTTCATTAAAAGCATTTGCAATATCCTGTAAATTATCAAGATCTAACCCGTTATATGTTATATTGGAAGGGGATGAGTTTTTGTCTGATTTTGAGGCCAGCTGATTTAAGTGACCCCACATTTCTTTTGACGTAGAACTATTTTCAATTACTTTCTTATAATATGTAGATTTTGCATCATTAATTAAAATTGTGACTTTGTTCCTCCAAAATCTAAAATTTTCCATGTCTCCCTGTTTATGGTATTGATCTCGTAAATTCCTAGCATCATTTATTTCTGGAGTTAACCATTTAGTGCGAAATTCTGATTTAACACGCTTTGTTTTAACTTTTGCATGCTTATTAATTATAGCATTGAAAATATCATAGAAACAGTTTAAGATGTCATTTGGATCATGCAGTAGGATTAATTCATCAAAATTTGCATTGTTTAAATCAAGCAAAAATTCTGTTTCATTAAAATTTTTAAAGTCACGATATTGTATTTCAATATGTTTGTTTTTACGTTTCATGCTGTTAGAGCTTCGTGTGGCACATATTGGATAATGATCAGACATTGCTACAGGGGGTACTGCTATTTCACATATGTTAGCAGGGTGCGTAGTGTAGAAATGGTCAATGAGAGTTTTAGAGTTATTGGTAATTCTTGTTGGGGTGTTAATTAATTGTGTTAATCCAAAATCTACAATTGCAGATGACCAACTCCGCGGGGGGTCTTTGAGCATATCAATATTGAAATCACCTGCAATAATCACTTCCTGGTCATCACAGCAGGTAGCACACTGTAACTCTCTTACAAAATCATCAACCCAGCAGGAGGGGACAGATGGTGGACGGTAAACTGAACAATAAAGTATAGGCTTAGAATTTCTAAGATTAATTTCAAGCCACATTGTCTCAATATTGCTAATTTCTAAATCCTTACGGCGTTTATACTTCAGATCATTTGAGATATATGTAACAAGTCCACCACCACCCCTTCCTACTCTGTCTTTTCTTTCAAAAGAATATCCTTTTATATTTATAACACAATCATTAATATTTTCATCTAGAAAGGTTTCACATAAAGAAAATATGTCAACGTAATGCTGATCTTGTAAATACAAAACCAATTCATCTAATTTTGGTAAAATGTGACACACATTCAAATTGACAAAATGTAGACCCTTTTTCATTAAAGCAATATTTGATTTACATATATTTTGTTTTTCTTCATTTTGAGTATTTGGCACTGGGGGAGAAATTGTAGGGTTTTGTTTAAAATTTGAAAAAGTGTTTTTCTTATTTATACATGCATCTACATGTTCAGATGTAAAATTTAAATCATTTGAGTAATTATTAGATAAAGGACATCTGCAAATTGGTTCATTACAGTCAAAACAGAGATTATTTAAAGGATCAAAATAATTATTGACATTGATAATTGGACAGTTTTTCGTATTATCGGCACAACTTTCATTGCCGCGATCCTATTTGGTACAGAACTTCTGCTTGTGACCTTGATCACCACAGTACCAACAAACAACTTTGTTTCCATGTCGGCAGTTACGCGAGGAATGACCTTGCTCTCCACAATAATAGCATGTCTGCACAGATGAGGGTCGTTGTTGTTTAAGAATTTTTACATGTGTGTTGTACAGCTTAAGAAGCAAAGCAGTACCACGATCGGCCAAGTGAATGCCATCTCTCCAAAAGGAAGGGGAATTCCAGTGCTTGAATGATTTGCTGGTCTCGATAAGTGTAGCACCATATTCCTCACAAATATATTTTATGCACTCATTTACTTCAGTAACATCCGCATTACATCTTGGAATCACTTCCGATAGAAACACTGAAATTGTACGATTTCTCTTCTTGAGATCTGCAATTATTTCAATGAAATCATCCTGAATCGCATCGATGTTGCGCAAGTTAGCTACATCATTACCACCAGCCTGGATGATGACATTTTTGATGGAGGATACATCACATCTCTGTAGTTTTGTGCGGATGTGTGAAATGCTAGCACCACGATTAGTACTAACATTCACACTGGAATCTAAGCCTCGGGTTTTGATTCGTTGAAGAATAGAACTTCCGATGACCAGGGTAGTTTTTTGCTTTCCTTCTCTTGCTGAAATAGATGGAGAAATCCTTGTGAAGCTGCCTCGTTCTTTAGGAGTTGATATAGGCTGACTCTCTCTGGAAGGGTGTAAGTTAGGGTTGTCCTTTGTCGCAACCATTTTGGTTTTCTGTGTGGGTTGTAAATTTTTCCATACAGAACTGGCATCTATATCTGTTGATGTGCTGGTGTCTTTTTTGTCGACACTAAAAGAATATTGGCTGTGTCTCGATATTCCAGTTTTAATGGAAAGTCCTTCAGTTGAAGTTCCCTTCTGTTTCAATTGTATTCCCGGAGTTTGTGTGGAAGCGTTGGTACAGGCTTTTGTTTGTTGTGCTTCCAGGAGCTGCTTCTTTAGGAGATTTACTTCTTGTGTCAGCATTTTTACAGTCTCAGAAAGAAGTTTCACATTTTCGGAGCTGCTACATTGGTGACAAGTTGTCTCCACATTTGATTCATTTAGCTGTTTAGAGGGTCTCGGGGTCGATGTACAGTTGGGTTGACTGACAATAATTTTGCAATCTGTTAGAGAGTCAGTTTGGCTTATATCTACTTGACTCTTGACTTCGTCTAGAAAATCATTCCTATACCATTCAAATGCACCAGTCCCTTGAATGAGAATTGTATTTGTGCTTCTGTAAATTGTTACAGTTACCGAGTCACACATCGATTTATAGATGCAACCATTTCTATTATTATCTCCATGAAAAAGAAGCATCTTCTGTAGCACAGTTGACATAAATTCATGCTGCTGGCCATCATAGTTTATGGTCACACTTTCTGCGTTAAGTTTAACATGAAGAAAGTCTGGTATACTCACTGATGGAGTTAAGTCCTGTTCCTTGTTTGTACCAATAAATGATTGTGATAATCCATTAAATGAATTCAGAATTGATGTAAAAAGACTAACATTTGCACTGAGATCCATCATTTCTTTATCATTTTAACTATTCACCTGAGTGTAGATAAGAGCACTGTAACAGTGACTAGATTTTACAGTAACAGTAGCTAGACTTTGCAGTAACAGTTACTTGATTTTCAAAGCAGTGAAGGATGATATACGCGAGCCAACGACAGAGGTGAATGTATGAGCCGATGGTAGAGAGTGGACCCCAACATCTATAGGTTTCTTGCTCTTATAGTAAAGTTCTTGTGCACAAAATTTGAAAACGTTTCATTGAAAACTATTTTCTGAGTTATTGCGTCACAACAAAAGTGTTGGAAGATGGACAATGTTATTCCCATAGGGTTCCCTGTATGTAAGGCCTCTAATGAAGAATCATCTATGATCTGGATATCATTGTTACAATGACAAAATTTACAGTAACAATGACTAGATTTTACAGTAACAATGACTAGATTTTACATAAACAATGACTAGATTTTATGGTAACAATGACTAGACTTTACAGTAACAGTGACGAGACTAACTTTACAGTAACAGTGACTAGATTTTACAGTAACAGTAGCTAGACTTTGCAGTAACAGTTACTTGATTTTCAAAGCAGTGAAGGATGATGTACAATTTACTAAATATCAAACTTACAATACATGTATGACTTAATTTCAAAGTTCAAATGACAGTTATAAAAATGTAAAATTTACAATAAATTATGAAATGGATATTCATTTTACAATGATGCAGTGTCTGACTTACATGATCCCACCAACACTCGCTGAAGTTTGGCAGCTGGTGTTCTAAAGTGTATTCCAGAACCTCAAACATAATACTCAGAACCGTGCACAGCCACCAGTCTCTTAGGATCAGTGTCTGTCAAAAACAAAAAAAAATCAAATACAAATTAGAGAAAGATTCAGTCTGTGCAAAGCTACAATTAATAGACAAGAGAGCCATGGACCACAATGTTTGTCTGAGTAATATAACTTTTTTCTGATAAATAAATATTCAAAATATCCCTAACTGCATGTGGCTAAAAAAATTGGCCAGAAGCCTTTCTTTCAGTAATTCCTATTTACCAAAAATAATCTGATTCTTGCAAAGTAAGTTACAAATAACAGCTTTTTTGATCTTGAAGAACTTTCTAATTTGTCTAAGTATAATCCATGGTCTTTCAATGTGATTTTATGTTTTATTTTACAAGAATGTTAACCTTCTCCTGTGTTCTCACACTGACACTACGAGATAAAAGTTAAATCTTGCTAAAATTTTAATTCTAAACAAGTGCCACATGGTTGCTTTCATAATAATCTCGAAAACTATATATTACCATGCTGTTCATAAAATTTAATAAGGAAATACTCTGTTTTGGTTTGAACAAGTGGAAATCTACTAATTATGGAAGCTTTAAAACACATACTTTATAAGTATATAAGATTTCCTTTTATGACTCAGCGTTTCTCCTAAGAAGATTTTAGAATGACCTAACACTATTTTCACCATTGCCATATTATCTCCCATTGATAAGTACTGAATCCGTATCATTTGATCAAAATTTTTAATCAATTTATCCAACAGTACTTTGTAGCAAGTGTCGCTAAAATTCTTTCTGTGGTTTTGGGGAAGTCATTTTTTTTAAAGTACAAAATTAAGTATAGTCATTTGGCTAGTTCTGAAAAGGGTACCGATTGGGTGCTGCTATAAATGTATGCAGGGATCAACATTAACGGTTGTCCGATTGCCCGGGACAAGTAAATTCTCAGTTCGGGCAAATGAAACTGTCGACGTACTTGTCCGATCGGGCAAGTGAATTTTTCTAATTGAAATGTACGTATTTATTTAGTATACATTAATTTATAAATAAAACAATAAATTGAACACTTGATTTTCCCCAGGTGCCTGACTGACATTGTTTCTGCATTCGGAATTCGATGGTAGTGTTTCTGCCACTTTCTGGATTATACTGTTCATTTGAAATTCGGGTTCGTTATTCTGTTTTCTTTCGTGGTAAATATGCTCTTCGTCTTTAGAACATCTTTGTTAACTTCTTATTAAAAAATTAGTGTATTTATTTGCTCACAAAATATTAGTACAGTGTAACACAATGTATCGTGATCAAGTTAAAGATGTATGTTACGTAACAACTATCTTCCTTTAGAGTTGCTTCACAGTTGTCTCTGAAAATCACGATTCACAAGAGAATCCTATATACCAAAATAATTTTTAAAGATATGAATTTTATTAAAACGGAGGGTTATTGCTACATGGCAGTATGTGTTAACAGGTTAAATTTACAAGGATGGTAACATACATTTATGTACAAACGTAGCATCGCAATTTTTTCAGGTACCTCACCTTGCCAAATTGACAGTAGTGTATTTGGTCTCATTTTCATTTACAGTAATAAACAATTTTTTTCTTAAGTTCTTTCCTTATTTTGGGCTACCAAGTTTACCATTCGGACAAGCCAAAGTTTGAGATCACTTGCACGAAGGGCAAGTCAATCTGAAAGTTAATGTCTATCCCTGGTATGTGGGCATTAAAAATGTAAATTGTTTGTCAAAGTAGTCCAAAGAACTGCTGATTTAATTGTAGCACCATTAAACTTTAATCTTCCTCCAAAAGAACTTTTATTTTAGCAAAGTAACTCGAGTAGCCATTTTACCAGTTTGTATATTGCAGGTCATCGACTTTGACATGGGAGAGAAGTGAACTCGGTTACTTCCTTTCATGTGGTAACAATGACATAATATTTGAACTTTTTCAACATGTAAAGCGTCAGAATGTCACAAACAGTGAAATCTTTATGGTGCAAATAAGCTGCTGAGTTCTGAATGTGTTATCAGTTCCCATGCAAATCTTTAGATTTTAAAAAAAGTCTTCAATTGATCTGCCCAGCAAGATTTTAAATAAATGCCACTCAGTAAGTTAAAATGGCATTTCCAATGGATAAATAGAATTAGCTATCAAGTCTACCATGAGAAAGCAAGTGAAAACAGGTATTCAGAACTGGTAAAACGACAGCACAAAAATATTCTAATATTTTTCAGTAACCGTATAACCATTTTTTTAGGGTAAAAAATTTGGCAGCTATGGGTTTATAAGGTGTATCATTAAATTTGGTAGAAATATTTTTGGTGAATCCTTTCCCATATATTCAAAATGCATTGTTATTCTGTATGTAATGTTCATTTTTTTTGTTATCAGCTTTAGCAGAAAAAAAAGTACATGTACTCAAGTATGAAAGTAACAAGGCTTTCTTCAAAAATCTACAAATGTATGTACATGTATGTATTCACTAACAAACATATGTATTCACCAACAAACAACATACACATCTCAGACATCATCTAGGATATTTTCTTAATCAAACTTGCAAGCAAGTATATACAAAAGAACTTCAATTTAATTTTCACTTTTGGGAATCAAAATAAAATGCCAAAATTGCAAACAATCAAATATTACAAGCCTTCATATATAGGTATCAATTCATTTTTACACTTTTAAAATTTATTATTAGCTCTTAAAGATTATTCATAATTGGTCGAAATTCAAAACTGGTAAAACAACTGTTTAACAGACACAGACAGACACACTGTACATTGTATACCTCAGACACATTTTGATAGTTCAATTGAGCCTTCAGCTCAGATTAGCTTGATGCAATGAACTTATAACTTGTGTTTCATCATTCAATAATATATGGAATATTACCTTAAACCACCATCCAAAGAAGTGAGTAGGAACAAATCCATCCAGTTTATCCTAAAAAAAAAAGAAAAAAAAATTAAACATGGTGTGGAACATTATCCCTAGGATAAATAAATGAACATATAAAATTAATATACTATAAGGTTATCCTATTCCCTCCCATCTCCAATTTCCAAGATAATTTTGTAACACACGAGTTATCTTTATAATCATCTACATACACAATCTGATTAAAATCAGATCCCCGATCTGCTCCTTTATTTTTTTTTATTGTTGCTTCACAAGGAAAAAAAATAAAGGAGTGGATCGAGGATCTGATTTTAATCAGATTGTCCGAATACATATCTCTCTGGTGTGAAGATCTAAATACTTATCATGTTTCAAATGCTTATGATGGTATATCCTTTAACCTTTAAAATCTAAGGGTGACCTTGAACTGTCCTGGAATAATTACAATTATATCATAACTGACAAAATATGATGTCTCCATGATCATTTATAATTTAGTTATTAAAAGTTAAGGCCATTATTAAAACCTGTTGATAATAAACAGTGGAGTTACTGGAACAAATATAGTAAAGCACCCTTACAACAAAGTGCCAGAGACGACTGATTCTGCTTCGTTATAAGCGTAATTCATTCTATCTGTTATGTTCACAATATATTTTAAAATCACAGGGAATGAAAATTGCTTCCCTGTTAGTGTCAATTCATTATAAGCCTGTTTGCTATATGAATGTTTGACTGGATGTTAACTAATTTACACATTTATTTATCTTGCCGTGATCTTTGATCAGGCATAAAATGTTCCTAGAAAAAAAAAAGCCATAATAATTACTATTAGACACTGTAATAATGACACTCATCACTTATAAACACCTCCGTTGCTGAAAGCTTTCAGTGTGTTGTAGGTAGTTTTCTCTTCTAGAAACCATCTGAATGTATTGATTGATAAATGAAATGGTAGAAATCATCACATTAGGCAATGTTACACTTCAATAACAGCTACTCTTTCAGACAAGAATCAATGCTGAGGCCTTGAATTCAATGCCACACCTAATCCTCCTTGATCTCTTTAGTAAAGCCTTCTGATCAGTACATAGATCTGATATCAATAAAGCACTGTGGTATGTAGCATACAGAGAGGTTCAGTGTATACAGTTTTAAATTAGTATCCCTGGACTAAGTTTGGTACAACACATAAATCCTGCCAAATCAGTGATATGAGGTGTTCAAAGACCATTCAAAATTATGTAGACTCTATTATTTACATCAAACAGTAATGAAATTTCACAGACACATATTTCTTAATCCAGTAAAATTCTGTTAAAATGCTTTAATAATAACTTCTCCTCAAAATATTGCTGTTATGATATTGCTATCATGATGTATGAGGCACAGCAAAATTTTACTCATTTATTTTCTATAATTTGCAAAACTATTTGACAGCTTTCTCCATTGATATGAAATTTTGTTGACCATATAATAGATTTATAAAAAGATTCTTTTATAATATGTGTAACTTTTTGCTTGTTCACGTTGTCACATATTTTTTCTGTGCAACAGGTCCGTGTAATTTTTTAAAACAGTCCTTGTATATTGTACTAATTTAATAGACTTCACTTGCACGGTGATAAATCATGATAAACAATGTTGAAATTGTTTGAGAAAATGCATTAGAAATAACATTTAAATCATAAAATAGTGACCTAAAAAGGATGTAATTATAAGCCTTAATGATTACGTTTTGAACTTTATCCACTATAAATCACAAACAAGCACATCAAACTTGTCTAATAAAAATATTCTAATTTTTCTAAAATCTGCAATTGCTTGCTTTTTGTTCAAGATGTGTGTGATCTGCTCTAATATGTTATACCAGCTTAAAAATTACCCTTGACGGTATTTATGGGACCCAAATATTATACACGTAAGTAATCAGCAACTGTTGCATGTTTTCACATCAGAGAGATATACAGTCAAACCTCGTTATCTTGAACTCAATGAGACCAAGAAAAAACTTTGAGATAGCCGAGGATTCAAGATATCAAGGGAAAATACTTAAAGAATAAGGGGTTGGGACTTCCAAATCACTTTGACATATCCATGGTATTTGAGACATCAGTGTTCAAGATACAGAATTTCAACTGTATTCATCAAATAAGTACATATCAATGCATCGGTTTGACTTAAATCCTTTGGACTACCATTCATTTGACGTACCCAGAGATTATGCCATGGATCAGAAGCATTAGCGTCAAAGAATAAACAGTTTCCACCATACGCCTTCTCTGGAAGCTTTACTCCAAGACTGGAATCAAAATGTTTCATCATGGCTCTGGCATCGGAAGCATTCTACAGTTTAATATAGAATAAATACACGTGTAATTTCAAGCTCTTCTCTAAAAAAAATATTTTGCAATTCATAGAGGATGTCTGCATGATTACCAGAAATGATAATAAAACCTTCAGTCCAAGAAGTTCCACAGAAAAAATCAATTTACAGACTATCAATGTACATGTATAAACAAACCAAAAGCCAATGGGCTGCTGTGCTCACCTGAGTCACCAATCCTTTTTAGCCAAATAAATATTCATACATGTATTGTGGTAAATAAAAGTCCTTTTTGAAAGCATCAACTTGAAGTTAATTTGATGGACAGTATCAAATTAATATCTACCACATTTAGCGAAAGCAAGGGAAAATTACTTTCAAAATATAATTAGAATTCAGATTGCTCAGATTGACCAGGCATGTGAAAGTTTGTTTAGTAATGTATTTCTTCAATATTTTTTTATAAAATATATCATAATTTGACCTAAAAAAAAAATGCTTGGCAATTATTTTTCATACATCTTACCTTAATTTACCCACTTTAGAACTTTGGAATGTATATGTTCAAAAGTTTAGGATAAATATCATTTTCACTGTATTTTTTCTCACTTTTAATCTTGTGAGAATATCTGATATACATGTACATATAAAGGTTGGCTTTACAGTGAACCTTCATAAATTCAAACTCAATGAGGTAATGAGAAAAAACTTCAAGATATCTGAAGAAAGACGGTAGTTAGGTTAAAATGCAATAAGTTAATTTTGGTTGTAACTTGACATTTGATTGGATAAAAAAATTAGAATATATCGTATAACCTGGGTTGCCTACGTCACAATGACATGTCAAAAATCTATCAATCTGCTTGACGTTACATTTAGAATATGTACAATTTGAAGGCATTTTTGAAGGAGAAATTGTCTTATTTTTTACACTTAATGATGGACTTAATGATGGAAAATTAAATTATAAGGAATGAATTTAATAGCTACCCAAGTTATACTGGTATAACCTGGGTTGGAACAGTTTACGCTTTTATTATAAACCGCTTCGCAGTTTATAAAGCGTAAAATGCCCCAACCCAGGTTATATATATAAGTACATGTATTGTATTGTATAAGTTGAATAGATATTAAATTCATTCCTTAATAAAGAAAAAAATTCAGCTGTATTTGTATAATTTATCAAATATTTCTCTGTGTATTAATGAAAAATGTGTCCTCTAATTGAATTTTTTAAAAACTAAGGTACTGTTCAGAAACCTGAGCAGAAATTGCTAGATCCTCGTACCTACTGATTACCCGTTTATGATTTAATAATGCTTACTAGATTTCAATGCTCAGTTGACACCCTCCTATTATTACAACAGAAATTTAATAATAAAGGTCACATAAAGGATACGAAAGGTGTTTGAAGAAAATAGAAAATTAAGGATTGCTCTAATAAATCAGACTGTGATTCAGATAAACTTATTAAAAACAAACAAAGGTGAAAAGTGATTTACCTGGAATAAAAGCCAAACCAGTCCCAGTTCATAAACTACACTCATGCACATTACGAGTCTCCAAAATGCTGTAAATCAGGAGAAAATTAATCTAAGGTGAGGCACAATATAATAAGTCAAACTCTAAAATAATCTCATGCTCTCAGGTGATTTCAACTTAAATACCACTTGTAATTTTTGTTATTTTGGTAAGTCAAATCAAGTACATTTACTGTAAATACGGAAATTTTACCATTCTTTCCTATGTTCATCCAAACATATTAAAAACAATACCCTATCCAGTGTTATGTATAGTAAACCCTTCTTGCTATCTAGTCTGTAAGAATTAAAATACATTTAATTATAATAAATAAGACCATTTTTTCCCTCCCCTCCCCTCCCCCTTCTTGTGAATCAGGACAAAAAATAAAGTGGTGAACACTTCCTAGTAGAGTAAAACCTAGTTCTAGTGAACCTTCTAGAATGCAAAAACTGCTTGAATATGTCTTAATTTTTCATAGTCACTTGACATTATATTATACAAATTACTGTGAAAAAATATGACTGCTCTAAAAGTTATTCACAACAATGAAGTTACTACACATGATTTCTACAATACAGATTTATTCAAAATATGATGATGAGTATTACATTCAGTTTATCGGTTATCCAGTCAGGTTTTTCACATTCTTACAAAGTTCTATAGAAATATCTCACACATGTACTTAATTATGTACCCCAAAATAAATGTGCAATGTACATAAACTTCAGAAACCCAGCCTATACCATACAGTCTTGTCTTCAGAATTGAGCATCAAATATTTCCATTTCTATTTGTTTTCTCTGTGATAACTCTTTGAAAGTTAAGAAAGTTGATTTCTTGATCATTCTACCAGAATGTAAATTTCGCCAAGCGAAAGGTCAGGAGCTTAGAAGGCCTAATATGCATGTAAATCTAATGCAGCTGTCTTTGTGTTTGACGTCAGTGGGTGGGGATTATTGAAATTGATATGTGAGGCCTCATGTAATTTAAATCTATTAATCTACATTTTGAAAATCTAAATTTACAATTTTATTTTACAATGAAATGGAAATATAAGGCATCACTGTCTAGTTAGTAGAGTATGCCAGGGACATCAACGATAGTTGGAAACGTGGGATAGTTTATGCATAACGGGCTTTGCCCATTATGCAAATTAACCCACGTTTCCAACTATCGTTGATGCCCTGGCATACTCTACTAACTAGACAGTGATTCCTTAAATATGCATAAAGAAATCTGACTGTTAATTATAAATATGATTTGGATATTCACAGTGATTTCCCTTGAGCTGACATAGACAAACTTTAGTACACATAAAAAGAACAGAAACCCAAGTCAATGTGTAACAGATACATGTTCTGGTATTTTAATTTTGAAATGTCAGTTTTTAGAACAGATTAATATGAAAAACGTCAAAAATCAATACACACTTAAATTAGGGACTGTCTACAGAGCCGAATGCATCTTCACTCTGACGAGCAAGGAATGAACAATTCTGAATGAAAACTGATTGTGTTTTTTAAAAAAAAAACTACAAATCTCCTTATATAATCGCACAGAAAGACTTATTCATTTCCTCACACTTACCAAATGAAATATGCCAATAAAGATTTTTTATATTGATTAAACATACTTATGTTTCAAGGGAAGTTTATCACATAAGAAGATGAAACCTTGTTTCTTTTCACTTCCTGAACCCAAAGTAGCCAGCAAAACATAAGTACATATTTTTAGCAAATCTACTTCCAAAATTCAAACAAGAAGTATTTACTTGTTCATATACAATTCAAATTTTTCAATATATATAATTAGCCCAACATGCATAAAAAAGTGTGCCTAAAAACTGAAACTCTAAAAATTATGAAAGAAAATGTAAAGGTAGATTCTTGATCTAGAACTCTACCTGGATGTGGTCTCCTAAATACACCATCTGGGGTCTGTGTCACTCCAAAGAGCAAAAAAGTCAAAACCATGGCAACAATACCTCTGAAAACAAAAGCAGATGCTGACAAATACCTCATGCAATCAAAGAAGTACAAACAGACATGACAGATATCAGAATTTGTACCTTGATTGATCCATTCACAAATAAAGAAGTCAAAATCCCACTAATACACTGTACAACTAGGTATAAAATAAACGAGACATGCTATAATATACTCTTCAAGATTCCATTTAAACAACCAATGAATTAAATTTACTTATAGACGTCATAAATTACCATTATGTCAAGCTTGAATTTCTAAATTATATTCATGTATAATTTCATGACCTTTGTGATTTTCATTTGAATATACCTGGCAGACCACTACCAGTCTTCATGCTGGACATCGTGGACTGAACTAACCTTTTGTTATTGTACTCAGCATCATATGTGTCTTCTTCAAACAGTGTAACATACACCAGGATACAGCTGAACACCACAAGGACAGTGATTGTGTGAGCCCGCCTGTAATACAGTACATGTACAACCAATCAAATAAACTAACAGAGATCTGGTCGTCAGTAAGCTATAAAATCAAAACTGAGATTAATGGTATGTTTAGCAAAAGGTTTACAGAACTTGAGGATCACCTGAGTATAATAGGCATTCTCAGAACATGTCCAACTCATCTCACCTAGTACTCAAGTGACACATTTTTTTTTACAAATGGATGTGGACTGTTACATGTTGCATAAAGCTTGTCTCATAGATGCTTAGGTGCAGAAAACATTTTTAAAGATATAAAGCATTTCAAATGTATATATAAATTATGATCAGTTTAATTAGCCCCATTCTGGAGACATAAATTTCACAGTTTGGTAAAAGGCTCATAGCTTTCTGTCATGAAGCATATAGTTTGCCTACACGTCTAAAATTAAGCTTTTCAAAATTAAGCATAATAAATCTATGATATAACAGTCCTAAGGCCTTGATTGCAGGTTCAATTCAATGAATTTAACAATTTTTGTAGATCAAGGGTTAAGTTTCTCATTATAACATTTATGCAAACAGTTTGCTTGCTAGATGTCCACAAGTAAAGAAGATTTTTAAAGGTGTTCAAGAAAGTAATACAGAGGATTATCTGAATGTAAAGAATCCAGGATATTTGACCTAATTACAGTTATTGACATAATTAAAATATTGGATATTGGAATGGTTTTATATTGTTGCACTTAAAAATACTCATATCAAAAAACTTTACTATGATTGTCATATTTTTTTTATTTTTTAGATAAAATGCACTTTTTCTTTTGAGTTAGATATTAACATGATTAAATTTATTTCCGATTGGTCCATTTGAATGACATGTAAATGTGAACAGGTACCTAATTTGAAAAGCATGTTAATCCAATGTGTAATTCATACTACATTTCTTGGTAGACATTTCTGTTAAAAAAATCATTATGCTGCCATATATTTCAAGAATGGCATTAAGAATTGCTAAATATATCTCATCACATATTTGATTATGCATTATTATATATATTGCTGTAAATGTATTAGTTTATCAGACATATTGACAGGAACGGTGTAGGAGATAACACATAAGATCTTGCTGACATATTAATTGAACATATCAAACTGGGGTACACTGTGGTGTCAGAAGTCCAGGTCCTTGATAAAGTAATTAAAATCTATGGAAAATTACACACTCACACACACTGAGGACAAAATTTTCCAACATCATAGCGGTATTTTCTGAATCAGGATAGTAATACTGTTATCTTATCTGTATTAATGAGCCCTTGCTCCTGGTTTACTTTAGGAAAATATTTAGATTTTGTAATACCAGGTATTGTATTTGCTTAGTAATGAAATTTTTTTAAGGCCAGGGTCAGCACATGTACAAACACTGTTGATCAAAATGGACCTAGTTTTAATAAAGTGCAAATATTAATATTCTGCATTTCTATATTTCATTTATTTTCCTAAATTTCAAAACTATAGACAACATATTAATATTTTAGATCTTTTTACACAACATATCCAGTATGCAAAGACTTGGGCAATACCTACATAAGACACCAAGATGTTCTTTTAATTTATTTTCCTGTTTAAAATGTAATACCAGTAGATATAAACAAAGCAATACTATAGCTAGACTATCCTAGTATGAACTTATTTTCCCCAGTCTACAAATAATTAAGCCTTATATTTATTACCAAAAGAATGACATGGTGCCATCATCCTGGATATCTTTAAACTTATTCTTTTCCTCCTCCCAATTGTGTGCTGTGGTGCTATGCAGCTTTAGGATGTGGTCAGGAGTGTTCCTTGCTGCAGCCATGATGATCAGCTATCCAGCTGACCCAATAGTCTAACCTAATCCTCCTTACCTGTAAAACATAATCAGCACTTCCTATATATATAGACTAATTTACATGTAATCCAGTTCTAGCCACCAACCACGATTACCACAATAATTAATCCATTAACTTATATATATATATTAAGCAACCTCATTTTATTCTATCATCTATGCATGTAAAATATTTCTCTTCACCAAGCCAAAAACTTCTTTCATTCAAATGATGGCATTTTGTCATCTTCACAGTTTTCCCCTTGGTTATACATCGCTTATAGCCAAAGACATAGCAGATAATAAACACTGTCTCCTACAAATTGCAATAAGTATTTATTTTGGAATGTCAGTGAGGGTTTGGGTGTTTGAACATGGTAATTTTTATACTGAAGATCATTAAAGTTTAAAATTGGAATGTAAATATTAGAATAATTTTTTTTCATCCTTCAAATATATATTTTTTAAAAAAGTGGGTAAAGGTGCCTTAAGTTAATCATTTTAATAAGTGGAATCAACTTTTGATGCATTTAAATCTTGTATGCCAATTGATTGGAATAACACTAACTACTTACAATTCTCAATGTATTTTAATAGGAATTGATCTTATACTTAAAAAAATTAAATTACAAAAATAATCAGAATTCAACAAAGAATTAATCTACGATATAGGGTCTATAGGCAGTCTAGACGAACTCCAAAAACAGCGTTTCCGGAAGTAAGAAATTGAGACTGAAAAAGACTCCGAAAATCGAGTCCACGCATGCGCACACACACAAAAAATGGCGATTTTTCGGCAAAAATGATGGGTCTACAAAAACTGTCCGTGCAAAGTTTTGGAAAGTATGGCAATTATATCAGTACTCAGAAATGCTAAATAAAAGACTTCAGAAGAGATCGTATTTGTCAGATTTTTGATTTTATTTGCAAAAAAGGAGATATTTACTTTCAAAGTCAACGTTTAAAGTCAGATCAATTACAGAGAAAATGATACGTTTTATGAAGTAAATATGCATAATAAAAGGGATATATATGCAAAATGGGACAATATATATTGTAAGTGTTAAAAACTTGACTGAATTTTACACATAAATTAGCATTCCGGTTTTTTATTTGTGTACGACATCTGAATCGAACGCGTAAGTTTTTACCATCGTTATTTACCGATTTTTTTAATCACATACAAATATATATTATTATGAAAACCGTTTTAAAACTATTATCTATCAATATGAAGACTTTAAAAACCACTCCTCTAGATATTAAGGGCACAACATGTCTTCTAAAAATGAACCTGTTAATATCTCTGCTCCGTGGTGAAAAATGCGCATTTTTGATTAAAATAAATACAAGTTGCCTATCTTCAAAAACAAATAAAAGCACCTTTATTGTAGGAACGACATAAAATTTAAATCAAGGAGACAATAAATTAAATAAGAAAATATTTCTTACCGGCAGTATTGAATTCGATGTCGTATATCCAATTCACTATTATGCAAGAGTTTGAAGCGATAAATAAGTCAATTTTCACAAAATAATTTAATAAATGCAATTATCCATTCAACAAAAAATAAAATGAGTAATAATGCACTAAATACACAATTATGCAGCCGTATATTTGGAGAAAGCGAACGACAATCCATCGTTTGTTTACATCGGACGCCATTTTGCCGCAATGCATGATGGAGCCAAAGACTTCGTTTTCGGAGTTCACGCTGTTTTTGAAGTTCGTCTAGACTGATAGGAGGTTAAAAACCAAACTACAATTTATCATGATGTTTACAATGGAAAAAAGATCACAATGTTACAATGTAATTTTGAAAATCGGTTCAAAGTGCAGAATTTTTAAGGCACTGACTATTTAAAATTAAATATAACAGTTGGAGTATTTCATCTGAAAAATTTATTACGAAATGCATTTAAAAAAATTGATTCGAGGAAATTTTTAAACTCAGTTTTCCAAGTCTGTGCCTTCACTCTTGGTCTTCACGTTTGATGAACTTCTAGCATAACTGTGAACTAATTTGTTGTTCCTAATAGTCACTGACAGATCAATAACAGTTATTGATGTAACTATCATGGCAGTTGCTACCTGTACGGTAAACTGTTGACAGCACCAGCAACAGACTTGTCAACATATTTTAATCTCACTAATGAGGAACCGATTTAAAGAAAATTTGAATTAATGTCATTCCTTACCTCTAAATTTTTACGCAGCTACTTCGTTTAATCCCCTGTCTGGAAACTGCGTTTGAACACATGGAGAATCTGACGAAAACAAACTCATCACGGAGGTATATTTACTTATAGAAACAGGCTATGAGACCGTGGTCTCATCTAACTCAAAACGAGGCTATTGCTCACCGGAATGGGTTCTCTCATCTATTTTCCCCTAATCATATCCGGTTATAATGTAACCCTAACGTTTCCGTGCAAAATTATGAAATTTTTTACTTGTATCAAGCCTTAAATTTAGACCTTAAATATAGACTTTAGTTCTGTCTTTAGGACCATGGAGCAGTGAGGGTTCTGAAGCATTGTAAACAGATTTTAAAATGCAGAAGGCAGGTATGATAAAAATTGACTAAAAAATATATAACCATATTTCCAGGGACCTACTAGTATATAGGTCCCTGATATTAATTATTTCATTATTAAAAAGAAAATGTCCAGTTTACAAATGAGGAAAATATGACAACACACTTTGACACCTATGAACAGACAAACATACAGGGTCTTATGTTTACAACACTGTAGCAAGAGACCATTGGCACAAAACACTCTTAAACATGCATGGTCTCATGTTTACAGACTGTAGCATGAGACCATTGACATAAAACACTCTTAAACGTGGATGGTCTCATGTTTACAAACTGTAGCATGAGACCATTGACATAAAACACTCTTAAACGTGGATGGTCTCATGTTTACAAACTGTAGCATGAGACCATTGACATATAACAGTCACAAACACACATGGTCTCATGTTAACAAACTGTAGCATGAGACCATTGACATATAACAGTCACAAACACACATGGTCTCATGTTTACAAACTGTAGCATGAGACCATAGGCATATAACAGTCACAAACACACATGGTCTCATGTTTACAAACTGTAGCATGAGACCATTGACATATAACAGTCAAAAACACACATGGTCTCATGTTTACAATACTGTAGCATGAGACCATTGACATATAACAGTCACAAACATGCATGGTCTCATGTTTACAAACTGTAGCATGAGACCATTGACATAAAACAGT